GCCCACAGATGTTGAAAGGAGACAAAGACCTTCCCCCAGATCCAACAGAGACAGAAAGACTTCCCCTAGAGCTGGTGTCTTGAATTCTGACATCTAGCTTCCTAAACTGTAAGGGAATAAATTTCTGTTTGTTAAAGCCATTCACTTGTTGTATTTCTGTTAAAGCAGCACCAGATAGCTAAGACAGAGGGAAAGGAGTGAGAAAGTATAAAATAATACGTAGGAGATTGAGAGAGTGAAGGGATGAGAGAAATGAAGCTTTGATTGGCAGGCAGCATTTAGGTTCTACTTGAAGGTGGTAATTATGATTTTAAAGTAAGAACAGTCAGAACAGATATGTTTTTTCTCTAACTATGTTCAGATGTAATGGAATTGTCCATCAAATGTTACCCTTTATTTTAATACCCAAGCTACTATTTAGAGGATCAAAAGTCAATTACCTTCATGAATAAATTTTGGGGACTCTCAGAACAAAATTTGCATATTTCAGTACCTGAGGAAACATTCATCTGCTGGCCTTTTCCAGTGGGGCCGCAGACTGCTGCTGCTCCAAGTCTCGGCACTGTCTTACCATCTTGAACTGGCTTCTCCAGCCTGCTATTGGGATCTCCCATGCAACTTTGCTCAGAGTATAAAAATGATTTCTGTATTTATTCCTCAAAGCACAACTATGATGTGCCCGTGTGATATTAAAAAAAAAAAGGAAACAAACAAACAAAAAACTTATTACAGCCTTTTCATCTGTGTTTAGGCAGTTCTCAGCACCCGGACTCTGGGTCAAAAGGAAGTGCTCTGCTCCAGACTCTTCTTGATGGTAGTGAGGTCCCCACAATCCTCTGTGGGATTGGCCCTTATACAAGCCAGGCAGGATGGCAAAACTGACCAATCTCCTAGCTGGACTGCAAGGGGCTCAATCCTACTGGGTGGATTTTCAAGCCACTATTTTCATAGTAAATTGACCATTCCCTTGCAAGATTGTGGCCCAGTTAATCATTTTGTGGAAGTTACAAGACCATGACTAGAAAGGCCATATAAAAATGATTCATTAAACCACAATTTTATTCAATATAATAATTTAAAATTGGTACTAATTGAGCTTCAAAATAGGCGGGAGCTGAGAACATATTTGGATATCAAAAGATAACAACCCTGGACTTTAAAGACTGAGATGAACTTGAAGCTTAAATTCCAAACCTTGTCTAGAAGAGAAATTTAAGAGGAATTTCAGAGTCAAGACTTCTTGCCTCCATGAAGTTCTATCAATCCCTTGATGTTGGTCAGGACCAGGGCAATGCCTTCATGATGCCTTTAACATTCTTGTTCCTTCTTGCTCTGGGGTCGTTTTTTTTTTTTGAGGCCAAATAGAAGGCACAGACTTCCATACTTCTCTCTCCTTAGTGATATTTTCTATTATAATTTCTTAATCTCTCTTCTAATCAGAGGAAATGGCTAAAGAGCTTTTCAAATTTTCTGTATAATGAAGAAATCTGTTATGTGTGTGTGTGTGTGTTTTGTTTGGTATTTCTACTGAGAAGACTTCCTTTTCACTCATATGCGTGGGAGATATTTGAGAGTTTTTGTTATGGATTGAATTGTGTCCTCCAAAAAGGTATGCTGCAGTCCTAACCCCTGTACCTGTGAATGGGACCTTCTTTAGAAATACGACCTCTGAAGCTGTTATCAGTTAGCATGAGTTCATCCCAGAGCAGGGCGGGTCCTCATCCCTTCTGAGTGGTGTCTTAGAAAAGAGCAGAACAGATGTGGAGACAGAGAGAGACAGAGGAAGGATAGCACAAGATGGCAGAGGCAGATGAAGCTGCAAGCCGAAGAACACCAAGATTTGCCAGGAGCTACCAGAAGCTAGGAGAAAGGTTCAGAATAGATTTTCCCTCAAACCCCTCAGAAGGAAGCAATCTTGCCACTTTGATTTTGGACTTTCATCCTCCAAACTAAGAAACCATAAATTTCTCTTCTTTAAAGTCACCCACTTGGTGGTATTTTGGTACGGCAGCCCTAAGAAAGTAAGGTGGCGCTAAAGGGACTTCTTCTCACATAATTATCAAGCTAATCCTGCCCAAACTGTACATGTGCTCCTTGTTTAACCTTTAACAGAGTACTGACTAATTGCCGGGTATTCCTGTGTGCACAGCGCACAACGATACATAAGGAATGATCACTTTCCTGAAAGGCTGCACACTGTAGTGGTGGAAAGATTGACACGCACATAAATAAAGGCACCTGTGCCAAAAATATTTTTATAAAAACTTGTAATATGGAATTAGAGGAAAATTTAATACAACTTTCAAAAATCTGGAAGGTGTCTGAAAAAACCAAACCCATTGCCGTCAAGTCCATTCTGACCCATTGCCGTCAAGTCCATTCTGACTCATTGCAACCCTATATGACAGAGTAAAACTGCCCTGTAGGGTTTCCAAGGAGCAGCTGGTGGATTTGAACTGCCAACCTTTTGGTTAGCAGCCAAGCTCTTAACCACTGCGCCACCAGGGAAGGTGTTGAGCCAGATGAAATGTCCAAGCTGAGGTTTCTCAGGTAAGTAGGAGTCTCTGGGGTGAAAAGGCCATTTCAGGCAGATGAAAGAGTAATTGCCAAGGTGTGCAGTGTGAACGAACATGACTCTTAGACAGAAGAAGGGCAGCACATGATGGTAGTTCAATGACTTTGTTGTGGTTGAAATGTGAGCAAGGGAAAAACAGAGACCGCTCGCTAATCTGCAAGAATTCAGATGGCAGGGGGCTTTGTAGGCTCAACTAAGCACCCTGGAGTTTATCCAGCTGACAATATGGAACCCATGAAGAATTTTTGTGGACTCCTGGTGGCAAAGGGGTTAAGAGTGCGACTGCTAACCAAAAGGTCGGCAGTTCAAATCCACTAGCCGCCCCTTGGAAACCCTATGGGGCAGTTCTACTCTGTCCTATGGGGTCACTGTGAGTCAGAATTGACTTGACAGCAATGAGTTTGTTTTTTATTGCTGTTGTTGTTGTTTGTTTTTGAAGAATTTTTTAAAAAAGGAAGCATTGTGAGGCAACTCCAAGGTCATTCTGGATGAAATGTAGTGAGGAAGAAAAGGGGGAAATAGAGTGACAATGTTGTCTCTAACAGACCAGAGGTCCCCAAGCTTCACTATTCTTTCCCAGGACATGTACCTCCAAAATTTGACCTTGATTTTTTTTTATTCTATTATCCATTCAGTGGCATAATTTTTCAGAGAGCTACCTTTTATTAAAGGAACCATGGTGGTGCAATTGTTAAGCGCTCAGCCGCTAACTAAAAGGTGGGTAGTTGGAACCCACCAGCTGCTTTGCAGAAGAAAAGACCTAGTGATCTGTTCCCATAAAGATTACAGCCTTGGAAACCCTACTCTGTCATATAGGGTCTCTATGAGTTGCAACTGACTCAACAGCAGACAACACCACATTTTTATTAAAACGAGAGCACACGTTTTATTCCATTTAAATCTCCTTCGTAAATTACTAGTTGATATCAACGGGTATATAAGTGTGTTACAAATATCTTAACAAGATTTAATTTTCATTTTAGTCAGTCTGGGAAATATTGTATTTTTGTGTGCAGCTCCAGGTTTTTAGACTTTCTTACAGGGCCAGATGCATTTTTGTCTTGACAGATCCTCATTTCCCCATAATCTGTGGTCAGTGGAAAGCACTTTGTGGATGCACCATGAGCTGGGGAGGACAGGGAAGGGGGAGGAGGAGGAAAGGTGAAAACGGAGGTGGAATGTGTCCGTGGTAAAAGTTCTGTCCTGTCATTGGGTGTGGGCCAAGGCTAGAACATGGCCGAGCTCGTGCTAGGGAACCCAGGAACACAGAAAAAGGATAGTCAACATTCTAAAATGTTTTGTGCATTAATACAGCATAATATTATCTTAGATTTCTTCTCCCTGATTCTCTGTACATGCTATAGAACTGTGTGACCCCCGACTAACTTCCTACAGTATTTAGAGGAATGCTTTTGTTGTGGCTTTTCCGAACACATATACTCTCTTTGCTGTGTGTATGTGAAATATTTTTGCTCTCAACAGGTTTAGAAAATTATCATATGAGGAATTCAGCAACGCTGTTCAGCCAGGTCTTACACAGGAACGCTGTCAGATGCTGGCATGGCCCATGTGGATTTAAAGCACTCTTTAAGCTATATTTAGAAAGTTTCTCTAAACGTAAAAACTTGATCATACATTTCTTAAACTTGATCATACGTTCCTCTATTTTTATGCTCAATTTTCCACTTCATCCCCTCTTACTTTCCACGTCAATGAATACCTCCTTTCGGAAGTATGCTGCATCTAAAGCTTTCTTCCCTAGTCCTCCGTGGCATTAAGGAATCATTTCCATTTAAAATTACCCTGAAACCATTTCGTTTTCTTCACATCAGGCCGACTGACTCATAACTCAGTTTTTAAAATGAAGAGGAAAGTCCAGGGCTTAGTTTTGTTTATTCTCTACCCGAGGGACTTCCTAGAATCAAGGATGTGACTGAAATGTGAACCAAATGCTCATATTTGCAGAAAGCCAAAGGAAAAATTTGGAAACTTTTGAAAAGAAAATTGGGAATGAAATCATTTATGTGGGAAAGTTTCCCATACTCAGATTGACAGTTTCTTAGGATAGGATGGATGTCTTTAAGTAGCACATATGGGAGGTAAAAGAGCCTCTTAAAGACAGGAAGTTATTTGAGATAAGTTGAATAAGGGTACTTTCCATATCCTCCCCCCACCCCCCCGCCCCCGCTGCCGTGGTTATCAAGTTGATAGGATGATACTCAACCTTCTAAAAGATCAACAGCCTACTGTCCTTCACTTGCTGTTTTTAAAAATCTAATAGCAGATTTCACCTTTCCTTGATTGAAGACGATGTGATAGCCAATTAGCAGGAAAGATGAAAGTGAAATTAAAACGGTAGGAAGAGGTTTTCACAACGGACAAAGGAAAAAAGAGTCTGTGAGCATACAGGTAACTCTTACCGTAGATGAAGAATGAGAAGGACTCAATTGCTTAACATCTGTCCTAACTCAGGAGGAAGGGCATTCTGCCAATTTCTTCCCGAGACTTTAGGATAAGGTGATCCTTCTTATTCAACAGTAATTTTCAAGAATCTTTGAGGAAAAGTTTCTGAATGATCAAAACAAAAAATAGAGACCTTTTGATGAGTGAATTGTTCTGAGTTCCTCCCCCTGCCTCTGTTTCTGGAAAGCAGTGCTAACAGAGACTGTAACTGAATCTATATATTGGCAAAATACAAGAAAATGCTATCAAAATACTGGAATTTTAATTTAAAAAAAGAATCAAGGACTACGAACCATTTTGGTTTTCGTATCTCTGATATCTTCTTATTTTTTAGCTAGACTCCTTTAAGTGAAGTTATATATAAATTACTAAGATTAAGAATATGCTTCCCATATTCACAAAAATCAAATAGAACAATCAAAATTCATGACATCTGAGCCCATGGTCGTTAGGAAACCAATATCATATGACCCTCAGGTAAAAATAAATAAATAACAAATGAATATGAATGATAATATGACTTTGGCTAGATTTTTCCCTCCAGTGCTGGATATGTAAACAACATATAGATATAGGACTGTGCTTGGAGAATCCCGTAGGTATTTCTCCAACATTTGATTTGTCCAGCCAAGGTAGGTCATAGTTCCCTTCGTCTTTATTATGCGTCTTCTTTCATGGAAGGGCTTCAATTAATAGCTATATCATCTTTTCTCTATTTATCTTTATTTTTTAATGCAAAAGAAGCTTTTTTAAAATAATATTTTATTGTGTTTTTGGTGAAAGTTTACACAGCAAGTTAGTTTTCATTTGACGATTTCCACACAAATTGATGAATGACATTAGTTACATTTTTCACAACATGTGAACATTCTGTTTAATTGCGTTCTGGTTATTCCATTTCCAGTGCTCTAGTTTCCCTGCCCCTTTATCTTCTCATCTTTGCTTTAGAGTAAATGTTGACCTTTTGGTCTCATACAGATGGTTTTTCACTAGAGCACAGTTGTTACGGGTAATAGCTTTTATTTTGTGTGCCATTAGGTTATTTCGCTAAGAGGTGATCTCAGGGGATAATTTTGGTTCAAGGTTTAAAGAGTGTCACCCTGATAGTCTCAGGGAGTCCTCTGGTCTCAACTGGCCCAGTTAGTCTGGGCTTTTTTAAGAATTTGAGTTTTGTTCTACATTTTTCTCCCATTCTATCCAGGACAATCTATTGTGACCCCAGTCAGAACAGTCAGTGGTGGTAACCGGGCACCATCTACATCTTCCCGTCTCAGGGTAGATGAGGAGTGGCTCGTGTAGGCTATCAGCCTTGCAGACTTGTTTCTTCTCTGAGGTTTTGGTTTCCATCTTACTCTTTTGCTCCTGATAAGTAGAGGGCAATTGTTATATCTTAGATGGCTGCTTGCAAGCTTGCAAGACCCCAGACACTACTTGCTTTACTAGGATGCAAAACATAAACTTTGTGAACTGTATTATGCCAATTGACTGAGTTGTCCCATGAGATTGTGGTCCTAAGCTTTCACACCTAGAAAACCAAACTCAGAAGGTGTTTGGTTATGTCTGAGGGGTATCTGTAATTATGTCTTCAACAAATATATGCGTCTGCACATACGTATCTGTATTTTCATATACTTCTATCTGTTCTCACATTTGTATGCATCTGTACCTACCCATATACCTATATGCTTATACCCATTCATAGGTGATCATATACTCGTTTTTTGGATTTTGTCGTAGTTGTTACCATCTTATATATGTAAAATTCTTTAGTACAGGCATCCTTTTCTCTTTAGTGCTTCTTAGTGACATCATTTACTTTGGTCATGCTGTGCTCACTACACCCACATTTGGTGCCACTTTTTCCATCACCAAAAATAACAAGTATCTACTATCTAAAGAGTGTTTTCCTCTCACTCCCCCACCCACCTCCACCAGTAACCACCAATGACCATTGGTCTCTTTATGTGTATCTATTCTTGTTCATTTATCTTTAAATAGTTCAACTGAAGGAAAAAGAGGTTCTAACCATTGCATCAAGCAGCACCCAGTCCTATTGGCAAACAGTGGCATGAAGTGATGAAGACACTCAACGTCTCATTGACTTTTGCAAACTTCAGTAGATCCTTTCCTGTTGATGATCAGATCAACATTATGTACGATCTCTCTCTCTTCTACTGCCTCATGTTTCTGCGTGAATAGATAACTCAGTCTTTGACCTTAAGCAAGAAAGAAATCACGACTCAGCTAATAAACAGTAATTGGTAGCAATTTGCCTTCATAATAGGAAAAGTTCTCTCAAACCAGTAGCAAAACGAAAAGTGTAACTTAGCATTGCAATTACCCGACTTCCTCGGATGGTATCTTTTTGGCCTATGTCCACGTATCACAAATTCTCTTTCTAAATTCATAGCTCAGTTCCCATTTCTCATTTTATGTAGCTAATATCCTCACAATATCTCAAGGACCCTTCATACTCTCAATCACTTCCAGGAAGAAAAGGAAATTATGGTAAAAAGAGAGCATTCTTTAAGGAAAGTAATCAGTTAGATAGTGAAGAGATATAAAAGCAAATTAAAGACTTAGAAAGTGATAAAAGAGAAGAAATCTTTAGAAACGGGGATTGCATTTGTAATGTCTTAAAGTACTTAAATCAAGTTAAGGAAATGGATTAATCAGTAGAGTGCATTAAACGGAACCAACTAACATGATTTCTAGTCCAAGGATAAATTTAAAAAAAAAAAAGCTGCAAGGCCAATCTTTATTTGTTTGGAGAGTTCCAAACTAAAGAGGGACAACTGTAAAAACATCTCCAGTCAGCTGGAACTACATTTCCATCACCACAGGGCCGCTGAGATTCATCCAACCATCTCTTTTAGGACATCAAAAAAAGATGAACCTAATTGCCTTAGCCTTGGCTGGTTAAATACTTAAGTGCAGGGCTGTTTCTTACTGTGTGTGAGAGAAAATAAACGATCCTATGAGGGAAGTGAAGAATAGCAAGTCGACAGAACTTCCCTTCCCAACCCTTACTGGATGTGCAGCATGAGACAGGGACAGGTGATATTCCAGCTCTCACTCTTCAGCCTTAAGGCAAATAGGAGCTGCTTCTCAATCAGACAATTCTCTGACTGAACACAAGAAACTTATTTTTCTATATGAAAACCGCAACCCTTGGGGAGGGGGGAAGATGAAGCTTCCAGACTGAAGCTGAAGAGTATTCTTTTGGATTAAACACCGAACAAAGTTAAGAGAATAAAAAGACAAGCCAGGAGGCGGGGCCAGATGGCGGAGTAGTCAGATGCTTCCAACGGTCCCTCTTACAACAAAGACCCAAAAAAACAAGCGAATCGATTATACATGACAATCTAGGAGCCCTGAACATCAAAGGCAAAGCTGAGAAATCCGACGGAGTGGCAGGGGAGAGAGGCAAGCAGTGGCGTCCGGGACGCGTTTTCCATGTCCAGAGAGGCCAAGTGGAGGAGAGTCTGTCCAGGCCTCCAGAGCCAGCGAAAAGCGGCACTCAGTCAGCGAAGACAAGTACATGCATTTAACCTACCACGCGGAGAAAAAAACCCCCTGTTTGGGAAGAACCTCTCTCCCATTTACCTGCTCCCTCCCCACTCGGCATCAGGTCCTGGGCCTCAGCAATTGCTATGTCCCATGTGCCGGAAGTAGAACCCATCACCCGCCCCGAGCCATTCCCCCAGCCTTGGAGGGGGAATAAATTAACAAACAGGAAAAAATAATCTGCCAGCTCGCCTAAGCCAGGAACTTAGGGCAGACACAGCTCCTTTGCCTAGGCACAGGTATAAGGGGTCCATGGACTCTGAATGCCTTTCACCCCGTGTAGACCTGGTGGGTCCATTTCAACAGCGTAGGCCCTCATTAGCACCGTACAACAGGGTACGTACCTGAAGCCTAACTTCACTGTATCAGCTATACGGTAGAGTGGCATGTTCGTGACACTTGATACCGCTTTGCCCATTAAGCAGGGTCCTCACCTACCCACATCAGGGGCCTGAGGGCTGGTGGCTTCACCCATGCCACCTAGCCACCTGCAACAGATGTCCAAGAATAAGTGGTGCCTCCTAGTCCTTACAGCCAACAGCATTGGGTGCCCATAGTCTGGCTGCAAAACCCACCTACCTACGCACTCTAGGGAACAGGGACATGCTTTCCTCCCAGACACTCAGGTGGCAGTTGTCAGCCCCCTGCCTCCCTCAGCACTGACCTCCTACTGCAGCCAGATACCTGTGCCTACTCCAATCACCCCTGTCAGTCTAGGACTGTAGGTAAGAGCCTGCACCACACCCTTGGTGACTGACTATCTGGACACCTGAGCTGAATCCACACAAGAAAAGTGAACGGACTCCTGAGCTCACATACCTAGTAAAAAGAGAAGACACAGACCGGGAGAAAATATTTGCAAAACACATATCCGATAAAGGACATCACTGTAAGTCGAAATCAACTCTATAGCAACTGACAACAATAACAACAATGTTCAAGATAAAAAACGGACTCTTAAAACTCAACAACAGGAAAACAAATCACTCAATTACAAAAAAAAAACCTCAACAAAGAAAATATACATACGGCAAATAAGCATATAGAAAGATGCTTGACATCATACATCATTGGAGAGACGCAAATTAAAACAACAATGGGATACCACTAACCACCTATTGTTGTTGATGTTGCTAGGTGCCATCAAGTTGGTTCTGACTTACACTGAACCCATGTACAATAAAAGGAAACACTGCTCAGGCCTACACCATCCTCACAGTAGTTGCAATGTTTGAACCCACGGTTGCAGCCGCTGTGTCAATACACCTCACTGAGGGTCTTCCTCTTCTTTGCTGACCCTCTACTTTACCAAGCATGATGTCCTTCTCTGGGGACTAGTCCCTCCTGATAACATGTCCAAAGTACGTGAGATGAAGTCTCATCATCCTTGCTCCCAAGTAGCAATCTGGTTGTACTTTTTCCAAGACAAAGATTTGTTCTTTCTTCTGGCAGTTCACGGTATATTCAATATTCTTCATCAACGCCATAATTCAAAGGCATCAATTCTTCTTCAGTTATCCTTATTCATTGTTCAGCTTTCACATGCATGAGGTGATTGAAAATATCACGGCTTGGGTCAGGAGCACCTTAGTCATCAAAGTGACATCTTTGCTTTTTATCACTTTAGAAAGGTCTTTTCCAGCAGATTTGCCCAATGCAATACTGACAATAACAAATGCTAGTGAGGATGTGGAATAACAGGAACCCTCATTCATTGCTGGTGGGGATGCAAAACGGTACAGCCACTTTGGAAGACAGTCTGACAGTTTCTCAGATTCTAAAATTCCTAAATTCTAAGAGAATTCTAAAATTCCTAAATTCTAAGATATATAATTTCAAAGTATCTTTCCTGTTTCTCTCAGGAAGCCAACTGGATCAGCCTTGTAAATAGAATTTTTTGTGGGTAATTTTTTTCAGCCATGAACCCTTTGCCTGCATCTGACTATATGTCTGTCGATCATGGTGCATCTTAGGATACCAAAAACCAAAATCAAACCCATTGCCGTCGAGTCAATTCTGACTTATAGTGACCCTAGAGGACAGAGTAGAACAGCCCTATAGAGTTTCCAAGGAGCAGCTGGTGAATTCAAACTGCCGACCTTTTGGTTAGCAGCCGAGCTCTTAATCACTGTGCCACCAGGGCTCCGAATCTAAGGACATAGTCATATAATTACCTTTTACTAGATTTGGTGCAATGATTAAGCACTCAGCTACTAACCAAAAAGCTGTTGGTTTGAACCCACCAGCTGCTCCACAGGAGAAAGACCCAGTACTCTGCTTCCATAAAGATTTACAGCTTTTGAAACCCTATGGGGGCAGTTCTACTCTGTCCTACAGGGTTGCTATGAGTCTGAATCAACTCAGTGGCAGTGAGTTTGGTTTGGTTTTCGACTCTTCAAGTAAGAGTAGGACAAAGCTATCATAAATTCTACAGCAGACAAGAGAAGGGTGGACATATGTGTTGTCCCACATGGACAATAAGCTAGAAGATATTTAAGATGACTAGACCCTATCCTTGGATACTTATTCTTTATGATCCTAGAACATATGTTGGTTTTACTCCAAATGTTTTATCCTGATTTTATTCCAATGACGTGGTGCAGTGGTTAAGAGCTTGGTTGCTAACCAAAAGGCCGGTTCAAATTCACCAGCCGATCCTTGGATACCCTATGCGGCAGTTCTACTCTGTCCTATAGGGTCGCTATGAGTCAGAATCGACTCAACAGCAATGAGTTTGGCTTTTTGATTTTTAATGACCAGTGAGAAAAGGCTTATAGCGTATCCCCTTCTCCTGCTCCAATATCTTTGCACTCTTATGTTGTTTGTATTTCTCCTTACGTATACTGATTCTCCTCAACCTCTCTTGTTGTTACTAGGTGCTATTGAGAGGATCCTGACTCATGGCCACCCCATGTGTGCAGGGTAGAATTGCTCCATTGGATTTTCAAGTCTGTGACCTTTCAGAAGCAGATCACCAAGCCTGTCTTTTGAGGCACCTCTGTATAGATTTGAACCACCAACCTTTCGGTTAGTAGCCGGGTGCTTAACCATTTGCACCACCCAGAGACTCCGCCTTGATCTCTAAGCATATTCAATTGTTTCCAAAATAAAACCGATAAATATCTTTCTGACTCTCTATCCCTTTGGTTTTCTCTCTCAGTCAAGCTGTTTAAAAGGGATGAAAGTGACAGATTCGTTCTTTTCCTCCCCTTCTTCACCTCCCATGCCTTCCTCCACCAGCTGCCATCTGCTTTCCGCCTCCAGGACTCCGCACAAACGACTCCAGCAAAGAGCACCAAAGCCATCTTTATCATTTTATTGTCACTTTTTAGTCTTTATCTTCCAGTATTTTAAAACGTTCCTTTGGCCAAATGTCAAGGAAGACTCCCGTCTCCTTTCCAAAGTACAAATGTATTAATTAGCTTGCTTGTTTGTTTTTATTAGCGAGGCAGTGACTGATGGATTCTAAACCTCAACAAGAAGAGTTTTTTGCTTGTTTGTTTAGCAAATTCCATTTATTTCCTGGTCAAGAAAAAACATTTAGTTTTCTCTGTCCTTTGCTGGCGATATCCTTGTCCTTGAGCTGTTTCATAATTTAGATGGAAAAAAGTACCTAAGAAAAGAAATTTCTCCACAATCCATCTCTATG